CATGAGGATGGATGGATAGATAGATAGATAGATAATAGATAGATAGATAGATTTTTTTTTTTTTAGACATAGTCTCACTCTGTCGCCCAAGCTGGAGTGCAGTGGCGTGATCTCAGATTATTGCAAGGTCCGCCTCCCGAGTTCATGCCATTTTCCTGCCTCAGCCTCCTGACTAGCTGGGACTATAGGCGCCCGCCACCAATCCCGGCTAATTTTTTGTAATTTTTTTTAAGTAGAGACGGGGTTTCACCGTGTTAGCCAGGATGGTCTCGATCTCCTGACCTCGTGATCCGCCCGCCTCCGCCTCCCAAAGTGCTGGGAATACAGGCGTGAGCCAATGCGCCCAGCCTAGATAGATAGATTTTTTAGAGACAAGGTCTCACGCTGTTGCCCAGGTTGGAGTGCAGTGGTAGGATCATGGCTCGCTGCAGCCTCGTCCTCTTGGGCTCAAGCAATCCTCCTGCCTCAGCCTCCCAGGTAGCTGGGACTACAGGTGTGCACCAGTGTGCTCAGCTAATTTTGTTTTAAATTTCTTGTAGAGACAGGGTCCCACTATATTATCCAGGCTGATCTCGAACTCCTGGGCTCAAGTGGTCCTCCCACCTTAGTCTCCCAAAGTACTGGGATTATGGGTGTGAGCTACCACACCTGGCCTTGCCATTTCTTTATGTCTTCTTTTATATCCCTAAGTGATGTTATATAGCTTTGGTTTACCTTTGTCTTCTTCATTTCTAATTATATCCTTCATAATTAGTTTACATTTTTTGGCTGTCATTGTGACTAGAATATCTTTTTAAAAATTATATGTCATTTCTCATAAGCATTCAATACAAGAATGCTACTGAAGAGTATTTTTGTCTTCCACATAACTTTATTCTACTAGGATTTTTGGCGGGGAAAGGTGTCCTAGTCCATTTTGTGTTGCTATAACTGAATACCATAGACTAGGTGACTTATAAAGAATAGAGATTTATTTAGCTCATGGTTCTAGAGGCTGGGAAGTCCTAGAACATGGTACTAGCCTCTTGTAAGGGGCTTCCTGCTGTGTTGTGACATGATGGGAGGCATCACATGGTAAGACAGAGCAACTGTGCAAGCTCTGTGTAAATATATAATTACATGTCTCAAATAATTTTTTGTTCAAATCTTCTTTTCTAATACTGATAACACTCCATACCCACTGGCCTAAATTAGTAATGGCAATAATGGGCATTTTTGTTTTATGTGTGTGTGTATTCTGTTCTGTAACCCTTTTATAGCTCAATACATGAAGATGTTTTCCACAATAAGTATTAGTTTCTAATATCAATTTTATTGGCCTTGTATTATTCCACAGTATGTGTGTCACTATATCACCTAGAGAGGAGGGAGTATCCCCTCTTTGTCATTTACTCAAGGGGCCACAGGAGACTATTGAGGATGGTGTCTTCCACTGTTGAAGGAGAGTTGAACTTGGAGTGAGGTATCTTTTCTGGTCCCAGCTGGCTCTCTCATTCATTCATTTTCTACACAAATAGTTATCAGGTACTAGGTACCTAGGTACTGGGGGTGGGGACGCAGTAGGAGTAGAAAGTCCAGTAAGACATAGTTCCTATTAGCTATGTATCCTTGGGTAAGTGACTTAAGTTTTCTGAACTTCAGTGTTTCTGTTTGTAAGATGAAGATACTAATAAGAACACCATCCCTATATACTTCCTAGGTTGATGTGTGGATTAAATGAGATGTCAGAGAATCTTCAGGTATTGTTGCTAGGAGGGACCATGGCAAACCTCACTTGCCAGATGAAGAGTAGCAGAGAAGGGAAATGACTTGCCCGAGGTCACATAGTGAGTTCCTGACATAGCAGGGTCTCACCCTCGGGTCTTCAGACTCTCACCCATCTAGAGGATCAGTTTGGAGCTCCAGGAATTCAAGCTTTGGGACCTTAATTGCCTAAGGCCATCCATGACAGCCAAGAAGCTAAAAGGGCCAAACCCAGAAGCACTATACCCTTCCCTCCTCCTGTCCCCAGCACCAGCCTGGAGCTGGGCAGTCCTGGGAGGGACTCGTCGATTGATCCGTGTATCTCCTCCCACAGCAGGGTGCCTCTCCTCTGCACCTCGCTGTGAGGCACAACTTCCCTGCCTTGGTCCAGCTCCTCATCAACTCTGACAGTGACTTGAATGCCATGGACAATGTAAGTGGCTACAGAGACCTTCTGGGCCCCAGGGAGCTTCTGGAAACCCTCCCAGGCTGGCAGGCTTGGCTGTGGTCTCCTAGCATGGCCCAGAGTTGAGGAACTGCTGTTTTTTTTGTTTCTTGGTTTTTTTTTTTTTTTAGCTTTTAAAAGGTAATTTAAATAGTTGTTGAAGGGAATATCATTTTGTTCATCATTCCCCTCTTTTGAACATTTTGGGTGTTCCCAAGTTTTGGCCATGATCTATAACATTGCAGTGAATATCTTTTTACATTCAACCTTTTCCTTTCATTGCTTTTTTTCCTTAGGGAAAATTCCCAGGGCAGGGGTGACTGAGGCAGTCTTGTGTAAAAAGAGGCCTCTGGGCTGGGCGCGGTGGCTCATGCCTGTAATCCCAGCACTTTGGGAGGCCAAGACGGGCGGATCACGAGGTCAGGAGATCGAGACCATCCTGGCTAACACGGTGAAACCCCGTCTCTGCTAAAAAAAAAATACAAAAAATTAGCCGGGCATGGTGTTGGGTGCCTGTAGTCCCAGCTACTTGGGAGGCTGAGGCAGGAGAATGGCGTGAACCCGGGAGGCGGAGCTTGCAGTGAGCTGAGATAAAGCCACTGCACTCCAACCTGGGCAACAGGGCAAGACTCTGTCTCAAAAAAAAAAAAAAAAAGAGGCCTCTGAGTCCTGAAGCTGTGATCAGTAAAGAGCCCTTTTAAATCCTGTCCCCACAATCTACTCACCAACCACATAATTCTCAGTACTAGCAAGGGCATGGCTTACAGAGCCACTGGGAGTCGAAAGCAGTTTGGCAGAATATATCATATACCTTTAAATGGTATGTATGAGCACTGCTGGGAACTGAGCCTTGAGAAACATATTAAAAGCTCATGCACAGAGATATTCACTACAGTATTATTTATCAGTCTTCACTTTGAAAATGGCCTCAATATTTAATAATAGGGAAGTGGTTAGGTAAATTATGGCACAGACACAAATAGGCTATTATGGAGTTATCAAAAATGGTGTTTATCAGAGTTTACAGTACACAAAAAGTGTCATGTTGGGGTAAAAAAAAGATGTAAAATGTACATATAGGGTGATCTCATGTATGTAAAACCAATAAACTGAAAACATTCTGCATTAAAGAAAAGACTAGAAGAAATATACTAGGATGATTGTGGGGGTTGACTTAGGGTGGCGGGCCACCGCATGTGCTTTTCACTTACCTGTTCCCTTGGCTTCTCCCCTAGAGGCAGCAGACGCCCCTTCACCTGGCTGCAGAGCACGCCTGGCAGGACATAGCAGAGATGCTCCTCATTGCTGGGGTTGACTTAAACCTGAGAGATAAGGTACCTCTGCTTACAACCCACCTCGCCTCAGGCTTTCATGGCTCCCCCTTTGCCAGAGACCCTGCTACGAATGCCCCCTCCCTCCTCCCTCTCAGGGTGTTCAAGGACTGCCATCCCTTCTATACCAGCTCAAATGCAACCTCCTCCAGGAAGCCTTCCTGACCACCTTCCCCTCTCTCTACTAAGGTCCCTCAGCCTTGGCCCACCTCTCTCTGGTATAGGCCTGTGAAATGATTGCTTTCTCCTTTATGGCCCCCATCAGACTGTGACCTCCTGAGTCACTTGGTAGGGTTGGGGAGTAGAAGTACTGCCCACAGTACTGTCCAACAACCCCCACATGTGGGACCGGTTTTGGGGAAGCTTCCCAGCTCATTGTGACAGCTATTTCCGCAAGTGCTAGTTGTCTCAGCAGAGCCGAAGATTTGGTATGAGGCTGGGAGGTCATAGGTGTATTGGGAGAGGGGCACCTGCACATGTGACTTGGCGAGGCCAGCCTGAGATGGTGTGGGGTAGAGCTGGGGGCCAGGATCAGATCCTGAAGCTGGACCTAGGAGGGGGCTCCCTGCTTTGAGCTAGGCACCAGGGCAGCTGACCAGATGGGAAGGGGAGCTTCCCTTCTCACTGCAGGTCTGTGGAGGTAACCATCTGGGAGGCCTGGAGAACAGGAGGCCCGACGGGAGGTGGGCAAAAGTGACATGATAAACCCAAGCCCTCAGGCCGGGCACGGTGGCTCACGCCTGTAATCCCAGCACTTTGGGAGGCGGAGGCGGGCGGATCATGATGTCAGGAGATCGAGACCATCCTGGCTAACACGGTGAAACCCTGTCTCTACTAAAAATACAAAAAAATTAGCTGGCTGTGGTGGGGCGCCTGTAGTCCCAGCTACTCGGGAGGCTGAGGCAGGAGAATGGTGTAAACCCGGGAGGTGGAGCTTGCCGTGAGCCGAGATCGCGCCACTGCACTCCAGCCCAGGCGACACAGCAAGACTCCGTATCAAAAAAACAAAACAAAACAAAAAAAACAAAACAAAAAAAACCACCAAGCCACCATCTCTGGGCTCTGGTTTCTTCATCTGAAAAGTGGGTGGGAACCCCTATTTCACAAGGGATGTTGAAGAGTTAATGAGGGCTGAGTTTCATAAGCTCTAAAGCTTCCTGATTTCTAAAGAAACATAAGAGATGGTCATTGGAATTATTTATTGCTATTGCTTTATTCTATCTGTGACTTTTCCATATCCCCATCATGCCCAGAAAACCAGAAAACTTTTCTGCTCTCAGTGTAGACTGCTGGAAAGCACTTCTTGTGGGCAGGAGGGTTTGTGCTCAGTGCTAGAGGCCCTTTTGTATCCCTTCTGTAGAAACTCTGGCTTCTCTTCTTGCCTCTTAATTGCAGCAGGGAAAAACCGCCCTGGCAGTGGCCGCCCGCAGCAACCATGTCAGCCTGGTGGACATGATCATAAAAGCTGATCGTTTCTACAGATGGGAGAAGGTACGGAGGCCTCACGCTTGATCTTTCCTTATTGGAAAGGGAGTGATTTTGGCTCCAGATGGAGCTGGCTTTGAATTCCAGCCCTGACCAATTCTGGGTCCCTCAGGCTCCAAGTGGGTGATAATCACCACCTTGTATGCTACCACAGTTGTTTGTGAGGATCTGGTGATGGGCAAGTGTCCACACATGCTGAAACAAGGCAGACTGAGGTCCATGCCAGCGTGGAGATACTGCTGGACACTGCTGTAGCGTCCAGCTGACGAATGCATGCATGCATGAATGCATATGGACATGTGTGAAAAAGAGATGGCAGGGGGTTCCATCTCATGCCATCTCCAGGTGATTGAACTGCTGCTTGGGATGTTATGCTCAGGCAACTTTCTGAGCCAGAAGTAAGTGTGCTGGGATTGATTAGCAATGTCTCCTGTGGACTTGGGACAGAGGAGTGGCAGAATGTTGCTATTCCAGTTAGCAAATGGAGGTAGGGAGTTTTCTGGTGTCCTTGGGGGTTGTTTTTATATACAGAAAATAATTTTGCATTTACTTCAGTTTTCAAAGTTAATACAGATGGTCCCTAATTACAATGGTTCAGCTTATGACTTTTCTACTTTATGATGGCACAAAAGCAATACACATTAAGTAGAAACCGTACTTTCAGTACCCGTATAGCCATGCTGTTTTTCACTTCAATATAATATTCAATAAATGACATGAGATGTTCAACACTTTATTACAAAATTGGCTTTGTGTTAGAGGATTTGCTCCACTATAAGCTCATGTAAGTGTACTGAGCACATGTAAGGTAGGCTAAGCTAAACTACGATGGTCTGTAGGTTAGGTAGATTAAATGCATTTTCAACTTTTATGAGATATATATATATATATTTTATTATTTATTTATTTAGAGACGGAGTCTCGCTCTGTCACCCAGGCTGGAGTGCAGTGGTGCGATCTCTGCTCACTGTAACCTCCGCCTCCTGGGTTCAAGCGACTCTCCTGCCTCAGCCTCCCAAGTAGCTGGGACTATAGGCACGTGCCACCATGCCCGGCTAATTTTTTTTGTATTTTTGGTAGAGACGGGGTTTCACTGTGTTGGCCAGGATGGTCTCGATCTCCTGACCTCGTGATCCGCCCACCTCAGCCTCCCAAAGTGCTGGGCTTACAGGTGTGAGCCACTGCACCTGGCCAATTTATGATATTTTTATCAAGACATAACCCCATCATAAGTTGAGGGGCATCTGTATTGAATCTGCTAAATTACACATTTAAAAACCTAGTTTTTCCTTAAACTTTAAAATTCATTTGATAAATCTTATTATTCTATTTATACAACGAGTAAATTTTTCCAGTCAGTTTCAGGGAAATCTTTTGAGTAATATTGGGTCCTGTGTTTAAACTCAGTCAAACTACCTTAAACATTGAAACTGAATAAATAAACTTAACATAACAGATTTTCTTTTTAAGCACTTCACATGCTTCTTAAATTCTTAAACTATCCTAATAAGACCATTAACTAAAACTAGAAATAATCTCAAATATCTTAAACATTCCAATGTGGTTTACAAACTTAGTAAACTGTTACCCCTTTTAAATAAAAATCACTGTTTCAAAATCAATTGGTAGATAAATTTCAGTAGGAATCATAAGATGTTCTCCCACTGATATGCTAGATTCCCTTAAACATTACGACCCCTTTACATACAACAGATTATTCCTAAATATAATCCCAAAATGTGAATACTGAGGGTTGGACTAACTGATTCATCTCTGTGCTGAGTACTAAGCCACTTCAGGCTTTACAGGTCCTCACCACTAAGGCAGTGGCTGCATGTCAGAATCACAAATCCCCCCTGGACCCCCAGGCCAATGCAGGTAGAATCTCTGAGGTGGGGGCCACACATCAGTGGTTCTTAAAGTTCCCAGATGGTCTCAGTGTGCAGATAGGGCTGAAAACACTGCCCCAGGGGACCAGTTTTTAATACCCCAGGTGAGAACCAAGCTTCACCTCACAGTGATTGCCAGAGACTGTTGACCATGACGTAAGCTTTGGAATTACAGACACCAGGGTGATTTTTTTCACCCTGAACTTAACAACCAGAACTCTGCATCCATTCCCTTTAGAGGGCCTTAGGCTTCTGTGGGCTTCATGTATGCTATGATAGAATTCTTTTGTAACCTCTAATTTCATTGCCTGCTTTGCTAGAAAGGATTTTGTAATCCTACCCTTTACTGCCTATTGTGATTCAGCAAATCTGATACCTGCCCTGCCTGGTTTTGGCCAAAGCTTCGGAGTACTTCTGCCGACACCCATGCTCTAAGAACACAGGAAAGAGCAGGTGACCGGAGAAATCTGGAAAGGCTCCCCGGAAGTGGCACATGGGTGGTCTTTTGACTATGACAATAAGGTTGAGGGGCAGGAAGGTGAGCAAAGGAATTCCAGGTGGAAGAACAGTGGGAGCAACTTGGGTTCCAGAGGTCAACGCGAGGCAGGGAGTGAGAAACCAGAAGAGAGGACGTTAAGCCCCTGGCCTTGCTGACTCCAGCTCCCAGGCTCCCCAGCAGAGGTGGTAGGAGGGTCATAGGGGCCTTGGCTCGGCATTGTCCCTGTCCGGGATCATGAGGGAGAGCTTCTGCACTTTTGGAATCTGCCCCACAGGACCACCTTTCATGCAGGGACCTCAGTGACCCCTCTGGGAAGAGCTTGTCCTTTAAGCAGGACCATCGGCAGGAAACACAGCAGCTCCGTTCTGTGTTGTGGCGGCTGGCCTCCAGGCATCTGCAGCCCCGTGAGTGGAAGAAGCTGGCATATTCCTGGGATTTCACGGAGGCGCATGTCTACGCCATCGAGCAACAGTGGACAGGTAGCACCTTGCCTCTCCTCCCTCCAAGCAACCAGTGGGCGGAGGGGTGGGGCACCTGAAATGTGTTCAGTTTTCTGGGCTTCAGGGGAAAGAGCCTGTGCAACCCACAGCCTGGTCCCAACACACCTGGTGCTCTGTCCCTCCTCCAGGCCTCCGCACAGGGTACACACTCTGCCTCTCCCTCCCCATTGATTGTGAATTTCACATTCTTCACCAATCAGCCCAAACCGATACCCACTGTTTACACCTAAACTAAAACCATTCTTGGTAAAAAGAAGAGGGCCTGCTGTTGTCACTATTATTCAACATCTATATGGAAATTTTGGCCCTGGCACTAAGGTATGAAAAGGAAATAGAAATAAGGAGTGTAAATATGGTAAAGGAAGAGAGAGACTTATTAATTTCAGATGGAATATTTAATATACATAGGACGCCCAGAGGAATCAACTAAAAAAAATCTTAGAATTAATCAAATAATTCAAGGAAATGGCTAAATATAGAAAAGATACTAACACCACAGAACTCCTATGAACCATTGTTAAATGGGCAAAAATTATATATAGAGAATCTTTTAAAAGAGACTCCATTTACAATGGTGTGTGCGTTTCATCTGGAAAACCTAAAAGACAAATACAGATGACACATATGAATAAAACAATAATGGTTCAACTCTAAAAGATGATTTGTGTAAACGGAATGACATTCTGTATTTGTGGCAAGAAAAAGTATCATACAGATATCAGTTTTCCCCAATTAGATTAAAAATTGGATCTAATTTTAATCAAAATAGGAGGTTTTTGAAACTTGATTGAAGTATTCTACAATTTGAAAGAATAAACAGGGATATAAAAGTGAACATTCTGGGGGAAAACAATAAAGGGGATCTAACTCAAGCAGACTCAGCCTTTTATAAAGCCAAATTAAAATTACATAAAGAGATACCTGGATCAGGCATGGTGGCTCACGCCTATAATCCCAGCACTCTGGGAGGCCTAGGTGGGGGATCACCTAAAGTTAGGAGTTCGAGACCAGCCTGGCCAAAATGGCGAAGTCCCGTCTCTACTAAAAATACAAAAATTAGCCGGGCATGGTAGTGGGCTCCTGTAATCCCAGCTACTCGAGAGGCTGAGGCGTGAGAATCGCTTGAACCCGGGAGGCAGAGTTTGCAGTGAGCTGAGATCACACCACTACACTCCAGCCTGAGGGATAGAGTGAGACTCTGTCTCCCAAAGAAAAAAAAAAAAAGAGAGATTCCTGACACAAAAATATGCAAATTGATCAGTGGAATAGAGCAGAGTTCAAAAGTAAACGCTGCTGCAGATAAGAACTTTCATATATGATAAAGAAGCACTTGTACATTACAGTGGTGGGGGCAGAGATATTTAACAAATGGTGTTGAGACCGCTGGGTCAAGCGGAAGTGCCACCACACCAAGGGCAGCACCATGAGGACATGCCTGCTGAGGGCCCCAAGAGGGATATGGAAGGTCAGAGGGGCAAATGGAGTGACCTGGACCTGATGGGTGTGGCCCAGCATCTATCTGTTTCCCCAGCACAGGAGAGCCAGCTGAATCACAGCCAGCCGAATAGCATGTTAACCCCATGCCGTGTGGGCAATTATTTTCCAAACATGGTTGTATGTTGGAACCACCTAGGAAACTTTAAAACCATTAAATGCCTAGACTGCACCCAGACCCAGGTACATGAGAATCTCTGGGGGTGACATGGGCCCTAGGTGTTTCCAAGGAGCAGCTGAGTCTCAGAACCACCAATGCAGGGGAAAGAGCATGGCCAGCTCCGTCTCTGACTAAGCTGTATTCTCATCTGTAAATCAGGACCACTATCATGCAAGACACAGATTATTTTGAGCAGCCAGAGAGGTGAAGTGTACAGTTTGTGCATCATGGTACTACAACGATGAATGTCAATTCTTTCTCCATTCAGAGTGACACCAACAGAGTGTATAGTGGGTGTTCAGGAGAAGGCCTGGGGCTGGGGAGGTTCTAGAGACCAAGACACAAACCCTTCCCCCTCCATCTGAGAGGCTGCTCCTCCACTCCCCTTACCCATCTCCAGGCTGAGCTTGGCTGGAGCATGGAGAAGGGCCTTGGAGGCTTTTGGCCTCTTTCCCACCTGGGCATGTTCAGGAGGCGGTGCAGGGTGGCATAGACAGGCGTTCTGGTCAAGTGGCCCCATTGGCTCTTTCTCCCTCTCTCCTCCCTCACTGTCCTCAGGCACCAGGAGCTATCAGGAGCACGGCCACCGAATGCTGCTCATTTGGCTGCATGGCGTGTCCACGGCTGGTGAGAACCCCAGCAAAGCACTGTTCGAGGGCCTTGTGACCATTGGCAGGAGGGACCTGGCTGGTAAGAGCGTACTCTGCTGGGTTTCTTCTCAGGAGCTGGGTGGCCCCCACTGGAATGCAGCAGGGCCCTCCAAGGGCTGCTCAGACAAGAATGCTGTGATGCTGGCTCTGGGCCTTCCAGATTCCTACCCCTAGCCCTGCCCCCTTTTCCCTTGGGCAAACAACAGTGCCTCCTGGCCCTGGTGTTGGCCCAAACTGAACCCTATGACCTTCACAGCCCCGGGGCCAGTGATGCTGTCCAGAATCTCTTGCTTACCAGCCTTCTATATACCTTGATATTTTTTTTCCATTTTGGAATCAGCCACCTTCGGACTTCTTTTTCACAAACATTAAGACATAGGAGCCAAAACTGACTTAATATGAGTTGAACCAGTTAAATCAGGTCAAATAAACCTTCTGAGGTCATCACAACTTATTTGAGTATGCCAATTTCAAAAGCCTGATTTGGGATTCAGAGTGTTCTGTGGAATCATCAGACAAGCAAGATAGAAGGTTCTAGTACTAACCCCTCGTTAAAAACAAAATCAGCTCATGATGAAAAGCCTTAAATGCTGTGATACCCACTGACGTGGTACATGATGGGGCAACCACAGAATGGGGCACTAGGCCGTCACTGACAGTTGTGAAGGCTCCATTAGTTATAAGGCAACGAAGAAAACCAATCCTGACATATTTCTAGCGTATTGCTGAGGGAAATATTTCTAGCATATTATTGAGGGAAAAAAGGAAAGGACCCCCCCCTCCCAAGCTGCTATAGGCCAGGTGGAAAAGCTAAGAGTCATTTCAGGGTAGAGGGATTAGGGACGCTACCTTTCTTTCCCCAAAATGTTCTTAAATATAGTTGTTGCATCTTCTTTTAACACAAACTCTGGCAGGCAATTAAAACATAAAACCAGTCCTGTGAGGCAGAGCTTAGGCAACAGAGGAAGTAAGGTTCTTGTTTTTAACAGAAAACATCAGGAAGAAAGCAAACGCAGCCCCAAGTGCCCCCAGGAGGTGCACAGCCATGTAACGGGGGGGCCAGACCTTCAGGCACGTGGGACCTCAGCGTGTGGAGCCACCTGAAGAGAAGATGACCATCATTTAAGGGCTTTTTAAAAAATCACTGTTAATGGACCTCCAACTGATTCTACTGAAATGCAGAGTCATGCAGAGCCCAGAAGGCAAATGTTTGTACAATGATCTTTTTCATGAGGATGGGTCCAAGGGCCTGTTTCGGGTTTTGTGGGTAATCCCGTCCCACAGGTATGGTCCTTTGGAGCTCTTGGAGTTCTTGGCACACTTTCTTCTTCTTCTTCTTCTTCCTTTTTCTTTTTTCTTTTGAGACAGAGTCTCACTCTGTCGCCAGGCTGGAGTGCCGTGGTGCGATCTTGGCTTACTGCAACCCCCGCCTCCCAGGTTCACGCCATTCTTCTGCCTCAGCCTCCCGAGTAGCTGGGACTACAGGCGCCCGCCACCACACCCGGCTAATTTTTTTAGTAAAGACGGGGTTTCACCGTGTTAGCCAGGATGGTCTCGATCTCCTGACCTCGTGATCTTCCCCAGGGATGGGGCGTTCCATCTTCTGCCCTGTCCGGGAGAGTAGCTGCTTGCCACCTGAGGCTGTCGTGCACCTGAAATGTTGGCTAGAGGGACTGAGAAGCTGAAATTTCTTATTTCTCATTATTTGAAATTGTAGGCACCCATGGCAAGTGGCATCCATGGTGCTTGGCTTTGAGGTGCCAGGCAAGCACAGCTTGTTGTGGGGCTCGGCTACACCAGCAGGGGGATGTGTTTCTGGGGAAATGTGGCTCTGGAAGCTTCACGGTTTCCTAGAATGTGGAAGATATATCTGCGCAGGATAGAAATCCTGCCCAGAGGCTGTTTCTGTCTCATTTGAGCTCTCTTTCATGTGGCAGAGCTGGCTGTGGCCAGTGTAGGAGCCTACATTTGAGAAAAGCTTACCTCAAAGTTCTGCATTGAGCCTGAGACTGGAAAGGAGATAGAATAAAACAGCTGACAGGGGCTTTGGCGGTCACACATGCCTGATGGGGTGCACAGGGCCACCGTCTCTGAAAGGTAATTTGGCATTATCCATCCACAATATACTTTTATCCATTGGTCCAGCAATCCTAGTCCTAGGAATTTGTCCTACATATAAACCTGTATGCATACAAAATGACAGACATACAAGGTTATTACTTTGAAAAAGCAAAAGATTGGAAACAAACCAAGTGACTGGCTACACGGGACTGGTGAAATAGAATATGTTCCATCCACACAATGGAATTCTGTTCAGCAGTAAAAGGATGAGGATGCTTTCCAAGTGTTGTTATGGAAAGAGCTCCAGGATAAATTAAATGGAAAAAAAAAAAAAACAAGATACAGGTACATTAAACAGAAGGAAATTGGTTCAGAGGATATCTGCACTATTTGTCAAGAGATGCTTTTAGAGAAAAAGCTTCCTTTTCTCTCTTCATCTTTTGCAGGTGATGTAGTTTTTTCTTTGGATTCCTTTTTTTTTTTTTTTTTTTGAAGCATAGTTTCGCTTGGCCGGGCGCCGTGGCTCATGCCTGTAATCCCAGCATTTTGGGAAGGCAGGTGGATCACGAGGTCAGGAGATTGAGGCCATCCTGGCTAACATGGTGAAACCCCGTCTCTACTAAAAATACAAAAAATTAGCTGGGCGTGGTGGTGGGCACCTGTAGTTCCAGCTATTTGGGAGGCTGAGGCAGGAGAGTGGCGTGAACCCGGGAGGCAGAGCTTGCAGTGAGCCGAGATCGTGCCACTGTACTCCAGCCTGGGTGACAGAGTGAGACCCTGTCTCAAAAAAAAAAAAAGAAACAGAATTTTGCTCTTGTTGCCCTGTCTGGAGTGCAGTGGCTTGATCTTGGCTCACTGCAACCTCCGTCTCTTGGATTCAAGCAATTCAACTGCCTCAGCCTCTGGAGTAGCTAGGATTACAGGCACGTGCCATCATGCCTGGCTAATTTTTGTATTTTTAGTAGACGGATTTCACCACATTGGTGAGGCTGGTCTCGAACTCCTGACCTCAGGTGACCCATCTGCCTTGGCCTCTCAAAGTGCTAGGATTACAGGCATGAGCCATAGAGCCTGGCCATCTTTGGATTCTTGAAACTTAAGAAAAATTCTAAAACATATTTGTGATCTATTACCTTATGAGACATGATAGGGAAAAAAAATAGACAACTTTACCTACCACTAATTTATATTTAGTCAGCATTCTTTTGTTTCCTAACATATATGTTGTGAGCTAAATATATGCTCTTACTCTAAATCTTTATGAGCTACACTTTAAGGGTGAAAATTGTTTGTTTTTTTTTTTGAGACGGAGTCTCGCTCTGTCGCCCAGGCTGGAGTGCAGTGGCCGGATCTCAGCTCACTGCAAGCTCCGCCTCCCGGGTCTACGCCATTCTCCTGCCTCAGCCTCCCGAGTAGCTGGGACTACAGGCGCCCGCCACCTCGCCCGGCTAGTTTTTTGTATTTTTTTTAGCAGAGACGGGGTTTCACCGTGTTAGCCAGGATGGTCTCGATCTCCTGACCTTGTGATCCGCCCGCCTCGGCCTCCCAAAGTGCTGGGATTACAGGCGTGAGCCACTGCGCCCGGCCTTTGTTTTGTTTTTTGAGACAGAGTCTTGGTCTCTCACCCAGGCAGGAGTACAAAACGGCGAGATCTGAGCTCACCGCAACCTCCGCCTCCTGGGTTGAAACGATTCTTGTGCCTCAGCCCCCCGAGCAGCTGGGATTTACAGGCGCGTGCCATAACACCCAGCTAATTTTCGTATTTTTAGTAGAGATGGGGTTTTGCCATGTTGGCCAGGCTGGAAAATTAAAACATAATTTCACAATTATTCCTCTTCCACCTTAAGTAACAAGAGTAGAATAATTTCTGTGTTTTTATCTTATTCACATAAATAAATGCCATGGCTTACCACAGTTACAATGTGTTTTCTGAAAGTAAAGATTTTTTTACCTTGAAATTACAAAAATTATTTTCAGTTTTCCGAAATTCGATCTTTAAACCAAAATAATTCAATTTTCATGGATGCCCAAGTGTTGAGAGTCTCATATTCATACTTTCCTTCACAGCACTATAAAGTTGGACTTGGAAAATTTGGACAGCCATTTGCCATTGTGATTTTTATTCATTTTTCTCCTGATTATTTGACAAAACTTGTATCCACATTGTAGTTGTTTGTGTGTCTGCTTCTATTGCATATTGTAAAATTATTAACTACTTCCCAAAATAGTATTTCTCTCAGCAGATATTTCTTTGGTACTACAGGACTGAAATCATTTCTCTGGATGAATTTTATACAACGAATTTTGTAATTTTTTTCTGAGACAAAAAAGTTCTTAAATACAATAAAATTGAAATGTTGAAATATATCTCTCAAATCCAGTACTCATTTCTTTTCTTTGGGAAATACAGGGCGAAATTCCAGGTCAGACAAGCTGTCACAGATTGGTGCTATGTAAGCACAACGGCTCAACTCACTGCCAGTGAATACTTCCTGAGTGGATTTTGTGCCAGGTGGTCTGCCAGGAGTGGGTACAGAGATGAGAGCCCACAGTTCCCTCCTTTTCCCCAAGCTTATGGTCTAGTGGGGGAGAAGGGCTTGCACACCAATAACTGAAATAGGGTGCAGTCCCCGCTGCAATGGATGGGTGCAAACAACCATGGGACTTCTTCCTGGAGGAAGGATGAAAGGACGGGGATGAAGCTCACAGAGGAGACGGAAGTGGGGAAAGGGCAGTCCAAGCCAAGAGCACAGCCTTAGCAATGGCCCACAGGTATGGAGAGGGACCCCCCTCGGGGCGTGGCGTGGTGTGGCTGCAGCACAGGATGCGTGGAAGGAGGGGGAGCTGTGACCTGAGGGGTGGGAGGGGGAGGGGTGCAGATGCGTTGGAAATTGTTCCCCACCCCATCACCAAAAATTAGATGTCTCATAAAGTAGAAACTGAACAGAATAGACTCCACCTTTGGAAACACACATCTGCTTGTCCTTTCAGAGTCTACTTTCCCTTGCTAATTGTGACTCTCCTTGTTTCTAAAATGTATATTTAAATCACTTTTCCAATGTGTATTTACTTACAGTTACTCCCCTCCCCTTTTTTTTTTTTTTTTTTTTTTTTTTTTGAGACAGAGTCTCGCTCTGTCACCAGGCTGGAGTGCAGTGGCGCAATCTTGGCTCACTGCAAGCTCCGATTCCCAGGTTCAAGCAATTCTCCTGCCTCAGCCTGCCACCAAGTAGCTGGGATTACAGGCACGGGCCACCATGCCCAGCTAATTTTTTTTGTATTTTTAGTAGAGATGGGGTTTCACCATGTTAGCCAGGATGGTCTCGATCTCCTGACCTCGTGATCTGCCCACCTCGGCCTTCCGAAGTGCTGGGATTATAGGCGTGAGCCACTGCGCCTGGCCCCTTTTCAAGATATATACTGTACTTAAAACTATTCACACATAGTAAGCAGGTTTATATACTTAAAGTGCAAAGCCTTTCTCCTGTGGATCCCAAGGTAACTTCTAGAAGTGGGTGCAGGCCCTGGATCACATCATGTATCAAAATGAACCCATAAAATGCACAGGTTAAGAACTGAGGTGGAGTCCCTGGCTCTTAGTGGAGGTTGCGCCCCTCATCTCTTCCCGTGTGCAGAGTTTCAGTAAATGGTTACAGTCCTACTTCAGAGTTTCTGAAACTGTGGTCTGATTTCCACAACAGAGGTCCTTAGTGTTCATGCACTGGCAAGTGACAAGATCAGACCTGCGTGTGGACCACACAGAAGCTGGGTGGGGGTGGGAGGAGATGGCTGGTGGAGCCAGTGAGGACTGCAGTAGTCTGGGCAAGAGATGCCAAAGCCTGGCCTGTAGTGAGGAATGCTGAAGTCTGGAGGCAAGTTGCTAGATCTCTGAGAGTCAGGGGATGTGGGTGTAGTAGATGTGGAAATGCACTGCCTGGACCCCCTTCTTCCAGGAAGGCCTTTCCATCCAGCTGCGGGAGTGCACTGGGCAGACGGCCTCCAGCTGTCAGTCCTTCAGTGTCCGCCTCAGCTGCAGAGAGCTGTCCCACCGAACGCCCTGCCTTCCCCAGGGCAGCTGCCTCTGGGAACTGAGCATACAGACCCAGCCATTTTAGTTCTCCATGAAAATATTCCAGTGGGCACTTCAAGCTCCTGTGTGCCCTACCGAGTTGGCGGGTACTTGATC